ATCCTTGCCTCTGCCTCTCAAGTGCTGGGATTATGTAGCTCTGTGGGTCTGAAACTCACTGTATAACCAAGGTTGGCTTTGAACTTCTGAACCTTCCTGCTTTTACTTCCGAGATTACTGGAATTACAGGTGTGTACCACACTATATAGCTAGTGACTACATTCATTCATTTACTTATTTATTTTTTGAGACAGGGTTTCTCTGTATTGCTTTGGAACCTGTCCTGGAACTAGCTCTGTAGACCAGGCTGGTCTTGAACTGACAGAGATTCTCCTGCCTCTGCCTTCTGAGTGCTGGGATTAAAGGCATGCACCACCAATGCCTGGTGTGATCATCTTTTTCAAAACAGATTTTTTTAATCTATTTTTTTTTCCTGCCAAGTGGTGGCACATGCCTTTAATCCCAGCACTTGGGAGGCAGAGGTAGGTGGACTTAATGTGAGTTCAAGACCATCCTGGTGTACAGAGTAAGTTCTAGGATAGCCAGGGCTACACAGAGAAAGCCTGTCTTGAAAAACTAAATGTCTGTCTGTCTGTCTGTCTATCTATCCATCCATCCATCCATCCACCTATCTATCATCTATCTATCTGTGTGTGCATATGTACCTATAAATATAGGTGCCCTCAGAGGTAGATGGTTGGATCCGCTGGAGCTGGGGTAGTTGTGAGTTGCCCTACTTGGTTGCTGGGAGCTGAATGCGACCTTCTGCAGCCACAGCAAGAACTCAACTGTGGAGCCATGTCTTTCTTTTCAGTGTGCAGAAACTTTCCCGAATCCTGCCCTCTTCTGAGTCCCCAACACGTGTCTCTCGAAGGGCTGCTTTGCTCCCCATCAACAGGACTGTGGGCTCAGACAATGCAGACAGACAGCCTGGAATGTGATTATCTTTTCCCTCATTCTGTCCTCAGGCCTTTGACATAGACAGGGATACCCACACTGCTCTGCACCGGCTATCTTTTGCCCAAAGGCTGCCAGCAAAGCAGTGCAGTAGGACCTGGAAACCAGGAATTTGGGTGCTGGAATTTGCACCCTTCCCAGGGAGCCCCTGCTGCCCTTGGGGGAAATTCCTGCCCAAACCAGCGTTGAATAGGGGCTGGCCAAGGCTTCCTGTGGAGCTGGTGGAGATCTTGTTGGAAGAATCTCCACAGGGTTCCATGGACTGTGCCTGTGCTGAGGTGGGGGTGGGTGGGTGGGTGGGTAGGGTAGGTGGTGGGGGTAGGGGCAGGAGGGGGAAGAGCTGGATACTAAGTCCTTGCCCCAACAGGCTCAGAGAAGAGGAGGGAGCCCTAGCCTCCTGTAGCTGTGAGGAACACCATCACACCACCAATAGAGCTGAGAACCAGCCGGAGGAAACCAGAAACCCTGGTGTCCTTGGTCAGCCCAGCTTCCTTGGTTGAGCCCACTGGCTTCAAGTCCCTCTCAACTGCCACCTTCTGAAGGCCTGGCCCTCTCCAATCTGCACCAGTTTGTGGGAGAGGAAGAAGTGGCCTAGTTGTCCGTCTGTCTTGTTCCGCTCAACGTCATTGCTGAATGTGGCAGTCCCTAGTAGAATGACAAGTTCCCTGGCCAGGAGAAGTGGAATCATGTTTCCAGGGATGGGGGTTATGCTCCATGAACCACACTCAAGCAAGGTGCAGCCTGGTCCACTGCACTCAGAGCTGGTTGGCTGGAGGCTGGGAGCCGGGAGGTGGTGTGTGTGTGTGTGTGTGTGTGTGTGTGTGTGTGGTGTGTGTGTGTGTGTGTGTAGGAGCAACGCAGGAAGTCCCGTTGTAGGGGATGCGAGCATCTCGCTGGAGTAAGGAAGTAGTAGGTTACAGGAAAAGGCTCTGGGCAGAGGATTTTTACAAGTGTATGCTCCACAGGATAAGTAGTTTTGTTTATATTTGGGTTGTTACTCTATGCCTGGGGCAGCATTTGGTACTAAACAGGTTCTGAAAAAAAGGAGCTGGGAAGGAGAAGTTGAGTCTAGCTAGGGTAGATAGTGAAACAGCTTGGTCATCCAGGGATCTGACACTATGCATAGTGTACTTCCAGGTGGCAGAAGCTGTGGTGGGTGGGGCTTAGGCAAGGGTGTGGACTGATCTAATCCTATTGTGGGTGGTGTTAGTTTCTTATCTCATCGCCCAGCCAGGAGCTACTTCAGGTCTGAAGTGTTTTTTTTTTTTTTTTCTGCCCTGGGTCCCCCCCCCCCCCCCATGTCCTGGTGTGTCAGAATACACACAGGTATGGGACCTGTGCTGGGTTCAGGACACACACAGATGATTCAGATTTAGGTTTTACCTTTCTGTCTGATGAGGGAGACAGACGGTAAACAAGGGGCTTACACAATGGAGGACTACTGTGCAGGTTCAACTGAGCAAACGAGACACAAGCCGACAGGATCAGGATCAGGGATTTTTGGAAGGAGGAATCTGTGGAGGGAGTATTAGTCTTTAAAGAATGATGAGGGAAGGGGCCTGGAGTCGGAGGCATTCCAGACAGAGGTGTCAGCCCAAAACTGCGCTGCAAGGGAAGAAGGGGGACTCACTGGGGAGAGATAAGTTGTGGGCAGAAAGGCCACCTATGGGTGTTGGGGCTGCTTCTGACTTTACTGGGTTCTGGGTAATTGCCAGCTGCAGCATGCTAGCTGGGGCTGTGGAAAGGCTCGGTATTATGGAACCCCTCAGCCCCCTTCTCTCCACAGCCAAGGCTCAGACACCTTCCTCTGATCTCCCTGCCTGGGTCTTCTCACTAGCTAGCTAGCTCCTTTTGCTCCACCAAGAACCTACCAACCCACTTGGAGCCTCACACCGTCAAGCCTCCACAAAGGGCAGACCACAGGGCCTCCGAACAAACACCACCCCCTCTTCCTCTCACACATGTCCTGGAAGGAGGGGCCAGACCTTTTGCAAGGGAGAAAAGGCAAGAAGAATCCTGGCCTGGTGGAACATAAGACTATCAAAAGAGATTAAAAGGCCCCCTCCCCCAATTAAAACCCCTTGCCAGCTGACAGGCTAGGAAGTAGATGTTCAAGAAGCTCTGAGGTGCCAGAGCCCCGGCTCCTAACACGGCCAACTCGAGAGTGCCTGACTGTGGGCCCCCCGAATGGCAGTGCCTTCCCTCCCCCAAGACCCAACTGGTCCTCGGATGCCGCGGGCCCTGCAGACACCGGTGAGTCAGTGTGTTGACAAGCCATCCCTGGCCATTCCTAGCCCATCAAAAATGGAAGGAAGTCCAAAGGAAGGGTATGAACAGACCGATTTAATTAGCGCGGGCTCTAAGGTACCTTAAGTTGGCCCTATTAAATTAAACCGCCTAGGGGAAAAATAACTGTAATTATTTCCTTTACTCCCCTACCATTGTGTTTCAACCCCCAACCTCCATGCTTCTCCCCTCTTTGACAAAACAACCTTTAAACTAGGGGCTGGCACAGACACCCCCAAACTAGGGTTCAGTGTTTCCCTTTTTCTGCCCTTCTTCCGTCTGAGCTCTGGTTCCTAGTAGAGAGCAGAGTCCAGAGGGGTCCACGGTGTTAGGCTGTATTCTAATTTAGGGAGGCTGTTAACAAGAGCAGAACATTATTCCTAAAACACACACGGAGTCTCCTTCCTGAACCAGTGCAGATCCATTTGCTGCGGGGCATTTCTTTTAAAAGCCCCCTTTCTCTCTTTTGTAGAGCAAAATAAGCAAACTTTAATGGTAGGGAATTATTGTTTATTTTGTTTAAATCTAGTTCTGAGTTTTCCTACTTGAAACGTGTTTTCCCCAGGACACTGACCTATCCTTTAATTGTTTGGTGCTAGGCATGTTAGGGGGAGGGGCGTTACTTGTTTATTGGAACAGCGCAGTTAAAAAAAAAAAAATCAACCTAGGCTAACAGTTTCAAGGCTCCCCTAAAGATGTATCCAAACAGGCAGCCAATCAGCGCTTACACAGCTTTTTCTGCTTGACTCTTTTAAAGAGACAGTGCCGACAGTGTTTTATCACATTTAAAGAGAACCGCGCTCTAAAAACAGTATGAAAATGGGGGAGCCATCCCCTATTTCACCAGTTTCTGATTTGGAGTCCTCAATGAGGGTACGTTGCAGGTTTTTGGGGTCCTCTATTGGACAGAAAGGAATCGGGAGCAAAAAGCTTGGTCACTCTGCCAACCCCCCATTTGCCATTGTACACCTGGGTCATTGACAATGGACGCTTCCCCTCCCCCCACACCCGACTCTAGCCCCCCCCCCCCACTCCCCAATTTAGCAACATTTATTTGAAGTTTGAGATTTCTGCGGCGCGCATTCTGAGTCGCGAGGCGTCCAGGTGACATCCCTCACCCAAATGGAACCCGTGCCCATGGAGAAGACCAGGGGGCTAACTTGCCAGGGTTGTTACACCTCAGAAATTTGGAAGAAATCACTCCCCCTCCTTCTAGTCTAAGACCCCTTTTCCTCTCCCGAGGCTTGCCCGGAGCTCGCCAAGAGCCATTTTCGCGCGGATCCACTTTGGGGTTTCCCAAAGTATTTTAACGATCTAGTAAAGAAGCAGCCGCGCGCTTTGGCGCCAGCTTCGGCTGCCCAGCTCTGCGTGTAGCCCTGCAGGGCTCGGGATCGGGGAGCCCGGCTAGGCGCAGGCAGCCCAGGGTGGGGCGGGGAGCTGGGCCGGCCGGGGTCCTGGCCCACGGAGGGCAAGATCAGCGCCGGGAGGGCGGGGGCGCTGGGGACCAGGGCGACACGGAAAGGGGCGAGCCGGGGTCCGCGCCTCCCTCCGCGGCTACTGCCGCAGCGCCCAGTCCCCGCGGCGCCGGCCGGGTGCTCCAGTCCAGGCCAGAGCCCCTCACGCCGCCGCCCCACCCCAGCGCCAGGGCTCGCCCTCCGCTCCCCCGGCCAGCGCACGAGCGGGCAGCGGCTCACGGAGGAGGCGCAGCGGGACTGGCGCGGCCGCGCTGACAGGCGTCCCTCCCGGCCTCCGGGCCCGCCCCCGCGCGCCGATTGGCCGCCGCGGCCGTCCGTCGCGGGGCGTGGACGCCCGCCGCGCTCCTGCCGGGGCAGCCACGTTCGGTTGAGCTCCAAGTAGACCAGCAGCGGCGGCGGCAGCGGCAGCGGTGCTGAAGGCGCAGAGGGCGGCGCAGGCGGAGCCGGGCGGGCGGCGGGCGCGCGGGCCACGAGCAAGCGAGCTGCAGGCTTCGGGCGGGCGGCGGCACAGCTCAGGCCGAGCCGGCGCGGGAGGAGTTCCAAGGCGATGGGGCCGCGGCCGGGGCTGACGCTTTGACAGCTGGAAAGAGCGCGGAGCCAGCGCCGGGGAGGGAGGGAGCGCGGCGAGCGGAGTGCGAGCGAGCGGGCGATCGCCGGGAGGGGGCCGGGAGCAGGGCAGCTCGGGAGACCGGACGGTAGCGGCGGCGGCGGCGGGCTCGGCGCCCTCTTCTCTGCAAGCCATGTTTGCCAAAGGCAAAGGCTCGGCGGTGCCCTCGGACGGGCAGGCTCGGGAAAAGTAAGCCTCTCGCGAGTGGGGCCGCGCCGCGGGCGGCGGGAGGCAGGTGGGCGCGGGAGTCGCGCTGCCTTGGGCCCCCGGTCTCTGCCCCGCGGCGGCAGCAGCGGCGGCGTGGAGAGCCCATTGTTGGGCGCCGGCAGAGGCTGGGGCACCCTGAAGGGGCGGCAGGGCAGCGGCGGGCGAGGGTAGTTGGTAGGCGCGCGGCGAAGCGGGCGCGGGGGCCCGCGACGAGGGTGGGCGAGGTCCCACTGTGAGCCGGTGCGCTCGGCCGGCTGGGCGCGGGGGCTCCACTTTGCCCACCGAGTGCGGGCAGGGGGCGCGTGGTTTTCTGCAGCCCCGAAGGCTCCTTTTGTCCGCCCGCGGCGTGAGAAGTGCGTGCCGGGGGCTTTGTTCGCCCAGGAGTGCTCTCCCTTCCCAGCCAGCGGCCTTGCCGCCAGCCCGGTGCGCTCCGGGGCGCCGGGCCGGGCTGGGCTGGGCAGGCGGCGCCGGCCTGGCCCTAGGCTTGGGGGACAGTTGTTTCGGGGGGGAGATGCTGAGGGCGGCGCTTTGCTGCCCTCTCCAGAGCGCGCCAAGTACCGGGACTGGGGTTGAGTCTGCCCGGACCCCGAAGCTGGGCTCCGGCAGCGAGCTGAAGTGGGCTGGGAGAAGGAGAGCTGCTCAGGGCTCTTGTGCCTTTCGAGTTTGCGAGACCTAGATGGGTTTGGTCCCAGTGGCACTTGGAAGTTCAAGTTTGGGGGACGGTTTTCCAGCTCCCGCCGCTTTGGGCAGTTTGGTACCCACCCACTCACTAGCTGTTCTGACCTGGATCCTGTCTGGGGTGATAGGTGCTCCTCTCTTGTCATGGCCACAATGGGATGGCACAGACCGGGCTCAGAGTCGACTGGCAGTGTCCAGAGCGAGCCTCAGTGTGGTCTGACCCTTTCCTCTCTCTCTCTCTCTCTCTCTCTCTGCCCCTGCTCACTTTCCAGGTTAGCTTTATACGTCTACGAATATTTACTGCACGTAGGAGCACAGAAATCTGCACAGACCTTCTTATCAGAGGTGAGTGGGACTCCTCAGCATCCAGTTTCTTGACACCCCCCTCCTCCCCACTATTCTTAGAGCCTTTGTTTTCAGGAGCAGCCACTGTGGCCACCATTTTGAATTTTTATCACCTTTTGGCATTTATTGTTAGTTGGTCTTCACAGCCTTTTGGCTGAGGAAGGCCCTGCGGCCCCCTCCTTTCTGCCCCTCTAAGCTGCCTCTGCCCCCTCTTTTCTAGATTCGATGGGAAAAAAACATCACACTGGGAGAGCCTCCTGGGTTTCTGCACTCGTGGTGGTGGTAAGTTTGTGTGATAGTTTTGTGTGTGTTTTGTTCTGTGGCCCGGGTCCTAGTGAACAAAGACAGGGGCTCTGGAGCAAGCCCTCTACCCTTAGCCTCTGCTTTCCACGGAGCAGGGCACCTCTGGGTGCTCTGATTAGGTTTGGCGAGGAAGAACCAGCAGAAGGCAGAAGAGGCTGCAGCCCGAAGTTTTTGCTGTGGGGAACTGGCTAAATTTTGCTATGCCAGGGTAGAACCGGCTTACTTTTCCATCTCACTCTGGGGCGCTAGGCAGGGGGCTTGGAAGGAGTTAGAAGGGTTTTTGTCAATCCTACATGCTGCTTTAATTAGGGGGATGGGGGCAGGGCGGGTGGAGGGGACACCAGGTCTGCTCTGCACCCGGCCTGTCCCTTAATGTTTTCTTCCGTAAACGCCAAACCTTAAGAGACATCTACTGGGCCTTTTCCAGGGACCCTGAGAAAAGCAAGAAGGCCTGCACTTCCTGTAGAGACACTGATTCAGACTGACTGGACCTTCCTTTCCTCTGGCTCCCCACCCCCCAGCATCCCTGCAACCACAAAGCCGTATTTTACCAGGAACCTTAACCAGCCAGAGGTGGCCTGGCAGGATGCCTGCAGCTTGTTGGGGGCTGGCTCTCCTTATCTGTGACCCTCCCTCCAGGCCTCCAAGCCTGTGGTATTCTGCAGGCAGGAGGGAAGCTTTGGGTCAAAGCCTTAAGCAAGTTGTCATGAGTGTGTTGACCTGGGTGTTTTGTGGGACTCATTGGTGGCATCCTTTTGAAAAGAAAAAGGAGGCAGATGGCTTTAGATATTTTGGTGTAGTTGAGGCAAATGCAGTGTTGGGATGTTAACATTTACCTGACTGCCAGCTCAGGTTACTGTTTCAAGTCTCTTTGAACAGCGGGAGGATGAAGTGTCTGTTCTAACTTGTGCAGAGAAAATGAGTTTTTAATGACTTCTGCCAACCTCCCAACTGCCTGGTTGGAGGAGGCGGCTGGTGTGGCGCAAGGATCCCACCTTCGGGAGTGGGTGATAGGTTGGCTGTGGCTGGTTTTGGAGGTGAGTGTAGATGGCATCAGCAAGTCTGATTGCCTTGGATCTTGTAGGAACTTGGGCTTGTGAGTGAAAGTTATTTCGAAGGTGTTGGGATTTTGGCATCTTGAAGTCTTTGCTGTGTATAGTGCTCCCGGGGGCAGTTGGGGAGGAGAGAATAATAGTCCAGCAGCCTCCCTCTGTAGCTGTGCAAGACCTAGTTTTCCTGTTGCTCCTGGAGTCTCTCCTTGTTGCAGGGATGGAAGGCCAGTTGTGCTGAGGGCTCAGGTTGCGGTGGCTGTGAGTAGTTGTATGGGTCTCACCCTGTGTGCATCTTGACATTGACACATGCTGGCTGGCTGTTCTCTGGGCCCCCAGGAGAGGGTGGATCAGATTGGATGGAGTGGGTTTTGTTATAGGCACGCCTTGAGGATGATGCTTTTCTGGTGACAGTGGAGTGTGCTGTGATGGGACCGGCAGGACCACCCCACAAGTCCGATCAGACTTCAGTTCCAGTGCCCACTGTGCCCTTCAAGCTGGTTGTGGTTGGGCCTTGGTTCTGGTATGGAGTATTTTCAAGGCCCTGCATTTGTGTAGCACTCTTGTAATCAGCACATGACGTGTTTCTCTTCTTGTGAATATGGAGTGTTGGAGTGATCATATAGAGTAACAGAGACACTAGAGTGAGTGCTGTATGTTCCCACCCCCATCCTGTGCTGGACAGGTCCTATCTGAAAGAGGTCCTTTGGCTCAGTGGGAGGGGATAAGATACTTGCGTGTCACAGCCTCTCTTCCTCTTTGGCTCACAGACAGGTATTCCTTGGTGGGTAGGGATGTGGGCAGTGGGCTTAAGAACCCATAAGGTTCCCTTCATTACTGGAGTTACCCAGATTTCTGTGCCCTGACTTTGACAACTTAACCTTTTTACAATATGCTGCAGCCATTTTGGTTTGGGGTGACGGGGACACAGATGAGATGGGCAGAATCTCCTTCCAGATTCCTATGTGGACACCCATGGGCAGTTTGTGCTAACCTTTCCAAGCATTAGTGTCTAAACCACAAGCAGTGTCACTGGTGTCACAGAGGAGGTGCTTTGATGGCAGCTATTACAGATGCCTGGCTTGCCAGGAGAGGTTGGAGCCACTTGTCTTAGGGGCTGAATTTGTCCAGTGAGTGCTAAAAGGTAGGATGGAGCCTTTGGGAGACCTGGTGCTGTATACCACGGATCCGGTACTCCCTGTTGTGTACACAAGTAATAATTAGTAACCTGATCTTACTTTGTTTTTCTATTTGCAGTGTATTTTGGGACCTTTACTGTGCAGCTCCTGAAAGGAGAGACACTTGTGAACATTCAAGTGAAGCAAAAGCCTTTCATGATTATGTGAGTAACAAATTTTTAATCCTGGCAATAATTACAGGGTTGGATGGCTCTAACTTCTTTAGTATCAAAAGCAAGTGCACAGCCGACTGGCAGTGGTCTTTATTTTCCCCTTGTCTTCCTTCCCATTCTCCTGCTCACCTACCTTTCTGCTGCCTGCCTTCCCTGATGCTTTTAGTTGGGGAGCAGTATTCATTACTTTGCAATTATATGAAAAGAGGTGGAGACCTATCTGGAGAACGAAATGGTCTTTGAAGACTCAGAGTCATGTGGGGTTTGGTTGAGAATTAACTTGGAGGGACGGAGCCTGGTTGGTATTGGCTTAAGAAAAAAAAAAAAAAAAAATGACCACCAAAAAGACAGAATGTAAATGTGAAACTTGTGTTTTGAACTAGAAGGGGTGGCTGAGCAGCAATGGACTTTCTAGCTCTATTTTCCAGAGAACAGTCTTTTAGTGTGTATATTGTGCACACATTGTGGGGTGTGATGTGCACACACATTGTGGGGTGTGATGTGCACACATTGTGGGGTGTGATGTGCACACACATTGTGGGGTGTGATGTGCACACACAGTGTGGGGTGTGATGTGCACACATTGTGGGGTGTGATGTGCACACACAGTGTGGGGTGTGATGTGCACACACAGTGTGGGGTGTGTATGCACACATTGTGGGGTGTGATGTGCACACATAGTGTGGGGTGTGTATGCACACATTGTGGGGTATACATGTCACACAGCATGGGGATCTGCTGCTCTGCTCAGGTAATGGGTACTATAAAGTGCTAAGTTCATTAACTATCCTTTGCCTGAATACTCTTTTAGATTACATTTGTTTATTTTGTGTGTATGTGTGTATATGCACATTTGAGTTGGGTGTATGTGTGACTTGTAGCATGGGAGTGGAGGTCAGAGGACAACTTGTGGGACTCAGTTTTTTTCTCCATACCATGTGGGTGGGGCCTGGGGCTCAAACCCGGGTCCTCAGATTTGGTGGCAGGTACTGTCTCACACCAATCTTGCCAGCACACTAGGAATTTGGGGCAGGAATGGAACACAATGTTTTGCACTTAAAACTCAGTACGTAGCTCATCTTGGCCTTTAATTTTCAGTGGTCCTACTTCAGCCTCCCAAGTGCTGAGATTATAGCCACTATGGCCAGCTCAAATTTTTCTTTTGAAAGTAGTTAATTTTACCAGGCCATACTATTTGCCTGCATAAAATATAAGGTCACCGAAGCCATTACTGGGAAGGTATCTGTGATGTTTGCCTTCCATTGCTATGCTGGCCTATGTATTCATTTATTTTATCTTGAATGCACACTGATGAAATAGGTGGTTAGGGTCTGTCAGGTTAGGAAGGATGGAGTGAGGAAAGGGAAGTACCTGGATGTCGTCTTCTAACACTGCCACTGCACATTGTGTACAGACATTTGTGGCACACATGCATTCACACAGTAGCCGATATGTTTTGACATGTCCAGTAGGAATGGTGTTAACGATAGCTTGAGGGGAATCTTGGTGGATTCCATGGTAGGAGAGGGTGACCCAGGTGGAGGACAAGCATGCCAGGCAGACAGAGCTTAGTGAGTTTTATTAGAAAGGGAAGGGTTGGGGGAAGGAAAGAGAAAAGAGATAAAGAGACACAGAGACAGAGAGAGGACACAAGAGAAGAGGCAGGTAGGACAAGTCCTGTCTGCCCAAGGGGAACAGCAGGAAAGAGAGCAAGTGGATGGGATCTTTCTTTTAAAGGGGTCCTTTGCACCTTCCTTTAGACTAGTAGTAATGGAACTCTGGGCTGACCAGGGTACTGCCTGAGTGCATTCTGCCAGATAACAGGGGCAGGCCAGCATAGTGCCTGAGTCCTTACACACGGTTCTCACATTTTGGGTTTGGAACTGATGAACAGCATCAGGTCTCATCTTCTTGCCCAGGTTATTTGCCTCCTCTGCATGCTGAGTTTGAAACTGATCTAGGAGGCCAAATCCCATCTGGGTGAATTTCATAGGTGGTCAGTTTCAATGCTATGGCTATTGTCATGATGAAAATGGCTCCTGTAACAGGAGTCAGAGACTGAACTCACTGGCTTCCTGAATGAGTAGTGTGATGGGGTTTTGTTGTGACCAAAAAGTTAATGCTCAGGAGTATGACCACGTCATATGTGCTCTCCGAGGTTGAGAAACAGAAGCTGATGAGTGGTGCTCTAGCCTGGTGAACTTTTAGTTGTAAAAGGGAGAGGTGACTGCTTCACTTGGCATGATGTGGTTCAGGGACAGTAAGTGTTGCCCATGATCATAGGACCAAGCTTCCTCAGCTGGGGCTTGTGGAAGGCTGAGTGGTCCAGCAACCAGTGAACCTGGCTTTTTCCTCTACCTTGCAGAAATCTTGCCCATACCCACTTAAATAACTAGAAATAGCCACACCTATGTTGGTAGTCTCTGACTACATTGCAGATGGTTTCATTTTAGAGAGGAAGGAGTAACCTGTTTCAAAATCCGCTGTCCCCATGCCAGGAATCAAAATCAGGGCCTTGCGTGTGCCAGGGAAGTGCTCTTGTCACTGAGTTACACCTTCTGATTCCTCAAGCCAGCCTTTGATAGACATTTATGTTCTTTCACAGGAAATCATAGACGCTAATGATTTTTTTAAAGTTAACCTGTTTGTTTTTATTTATTTACTTAGAGATTAAGGACAGTCTCAGTGTATATCCTTGAATTCACTAGACCTGCCTCCTGAGTGTTTCAAGGCCTGCACCACTACACCCAGCTGTTTATTGTATGTATGTATATATGTATGCCTGCATGAGTGAATGTACGACACGCCAATAACGGTGCCCCAAGAGCCAGAGGGTTCAGACCGACTGGGAACTGGAATTACAGATGGTTGTGTGCCTCCTTAGGTGGGAGCTTGGAACCAAGCTCAGGTCCTCTGCAAAGCAGGAAATACTCATTAACGGCTGAATTGTCTCTCCAGCCTGAAGCGAATGATTTTTAGTTGGCTGTGGTAGCGTTGAGATTCTCTTTAGCAATTTGTGGTTTGGTCTTGCATCTTGAAGCAAGATGGCAGCCCTAGAAACGTGTAACGTCAGTTTGCAGCCAGTGACTGTTAAGGAGTGGCAATAGAACCCTGCAGATTGCTGAGGCTGGCATGACATTTAGAAGATGCTGCTAAGAGATGAGGTCATACTAGTTGGGGGCCTATGAATCATAGGTTTGTAGCGCAAGTCCTTTTTCCCTTAAATTGGGATCAATCTAATAGGTCTTGTGACCTGAGTTAGGGAGGTGTAATAATGCAGGTATTTCTTTTTACTTTTTTTTTCCCCCTAAAGAGGGTCTCACTTACTCTGTATGTCTGGCTGACCTAGAACTTGCTATATAGGTTTGGCTAGCCTTGAACTCAGACATTTGCCTGCCTCTGCCTCCTGGGATTAAAGATGTGAGCCACCATGCCCTGCTTTATAAGTGAAAACTTTGAAGTAATTAAGGATAACATTCAGCTGGGTGGGTGGCAGCAGAGGAGCTCCTGGAAAATGAAGAAATATCCATTAGTCTGGGATTGTAAGTTGGTAGTAGAGGGCTTGCCTAGCTGTTGCAAGACCCTGGGATTTTCCCCAGCACTAAAAAAAGGAGGAGGAGACACCAAAGATAATTATGCTGCTTTTCTGCTTATCCTTCCTATTTCTTCATCTAGCTTCTCTACTCTTGTGTCGTTCATTGGGTTAGCCTGAGTGGTGGGGATTGAACAAAGCCGTGTCATGTGCTCTTACTTGCTGAGCCATCTTTTTGGCTCCCAGGAGCTCCTTCTGGACTTCCTTGGCTAGGATGTAGTTTTCTCTGTTTGGCCAAATCCAGTCTATCTCAGTGTGTGAGAGACTGGATCTCAGTGTGTTATAATTCTCCGTTTCCAATTCTGAGTAGCAGGGGTATTAGGCGGCAGCCATCATGCACACAGGTCACAAGGGCACCCACGATCAGTGTCTGCATTTGGTGATCATTCCATTTCAGTGCCTGTAAAAGCCACCTGTGCTGTGTGTGTGCCAGCAGTTGCCTTGTATTGGGCAGTGTGCTAATTAAAGCGTTTGCCCATTACTCTGCCACTGGCCCTGTTAGAAGAAGCATGCTGCTAGTTCCATGTTGTAGATGAAGAAACTGAGGCACAGAGAGGTTAATCACAACGTTAGAGTTAGAATGTGCTCACAATTCATGGCTAACACCAGAGTCCATACTTCTAACATTGTTTGGCACAACCACAGCAGGCTTGCTTGCTTGTATGATCCTGGCTGTCTTTAGATCTGCCTGTCTTGCTATAGTTCATTTGTTTTTTTTTTTTTAAAACAAAACAAAACAACAACAAAAACAAAAAACAAAAAACTAGGGAGCCAGAAAGTGGTAGTGCATGCCTTTAGTCCTAGCACTTGGGAGGCAGAGACAGGTGGATCTCTTGAGTTCCAGGTCAGCTTGGTCTACAAAGCTATTCAGAGGAACCAGCTTAAAACAAACAAACAAACAAACAAACAAAAAAACCAAAGCAAAACAAACCAAGAAACCAAACTATGGCATATGCTTTTGTCTCCTAGCTCCTCCAAGGCTGTATACATAGTAAGCACACACTGGTAGGGATAAAGGAGTGAAATAAGGGGAGGAACACATGTGGTTCGTGCAGAGTGGACCTGGACCAGGAAAGCTCATAGACCATTGGCAGATGTTCTTTAGATGGCGAATTCATCTTGAGCAAGCGGCAGTCCTTTTTAGACATCTACAGTGTGAAGAAGAGTGTTCACTGGCTCTGGGTGGTGTGCCACGGAGAGTCAGAGGTTCTCAAAGTGTGGGAAAAAGTGTCTGGGAAGTATGGGAAAAATTGCCTGCTTGAGGGAGGACTCTCTGCAGTTCAAGTAGAAGGTGTGGGTCCTGGCTCTTGTACAGAGTGATATTGTCATCTTGGCAGGTAATCGCCCCCCAAGATAGGCAGGGTCAGGGGTTGGGTGATTGTGAAGGCCCCTCCCAGGT